ACACACACACACACACACACACACACAAACAAAATATACAGTATATAAATATACAATTTCAGAACCGTCACACAGAACAGTTAACCACAGGGTAAAGCTCTGTGTTATTTCTCCAAACACCAGACAGGGTGGTGTTTCAGTTCTGTGTTTCCTCATGGTGTTGGTCACCGACACCAAGCCCTCTCTGCTGCTCCAAAAAATAATGAAATCTTTAGGGAATTATCTTTACTATGATACCAGTTGGTGTTCTACCGCTGTTTTAAATGAATAACCAGTGGGTTCTGCTGTTCAAAGCAACAAAGACTCGTAGATAAATTAATAGTGGTACTGCATTTTAATTTTAGAAAGCGCAAATCCGCTTATGAATTACAAAAATTAGTAAGACCGCTAAAGCACAAATGAAATATTTAGGTCTGCAATTAGCGGATGTGCGCTTTAGCGGACTGGTGCCCACCACTGGTATTGAGGGAGTGAGAATCATGAGCTGGGCAGTGAAAAGACTTGCATTGTTCACAAGTCTCAAACCACAAGTCTAAGTCTCTGATAATAGGGACTTAAGTGTGACTCAAGTCCAAGTCACGAGTCCCGATCTCTGTTTGTAAGACATTAAAGGACCATGCTGACACGGTCTTTTTGTTGAACCTCTTATGTGACAGCGCAGTCATATACTTCACTCTGTCACCTTTTTTATTTTTACCTACCTCTGGTGGATTTACAGAAACCTGTGGTTTCTTTGGGATCTTTAAATAACACTCCCTAAGCTGATTTTGTCTGAAACACACGAGAAGAGCAGCTGATGGGATTTTTTCTTCCAGAGCAACCAAAAAAGTTGTGCTATATGTGTGTGCATCAGAGATGGTGTGCTCCTTTTCTAAAAGTAAAAACTATAATAGAAATAACATTTTAATGTTAACTGGTACCACCCATAGATTCTTTTCACTGTGTCTTTGTGTGTGTGCATGTGTTTATTTTACAAAACCTCTCATGAACCAGTGGATAGGTTTTGGCACCAGCGACCTCCATGAGCCTCGATGCCATTTGACCAGAGCTCATTCTGCTTTATCTGGAATCATCATCCTCTCCTGTCAAACAAATATCTGTTCAGCATCTTGTCGTAATGCTTTGAGCCAAGTCATCAACTGGGCAGCTGTGGTGCAGTGGTTAGGGGAGTCGTCCTGGAACTGGAAGGTCACCGGTTTAATCCCCCATTTCAGCCGTCTCAGTCTTTGTGTCCTTGGGCAAGACGRTTCACCTGCCTTGCCRACTGATGGTGGTCAGAGGGTCCGGTGGCCCCCTGCCTCTGTCAGTGTGCCCCAGGGCAGCTGTGGCTTACTGCCATCAGTGTGTGAATGGGTGAATGTCTGAAGTGTAAAGCACGTCGGGGTCTAAGTGGYTTTGATAAGGAGCTCTATAAGTTCAAGACATTTACCAACTGTGTGGTCACAGATGATCACTGTTGGTTTATATGATAACAAACCTACTTCTCCTCTCTGAAACTTTAAATGACATCAAATCAAGAAAATTAATGTCTGTAAGCTTAAGCTTAGAAACTAACTTCTAGRCATCACGTTGATGACACCATCCTTTTTTTCTGCAACAGAACCTTTCATACACATTTTGGACCTATTTATTCTTGACCATTATTACTTTGAATTTTGTTAAAATTTGTTCTTAGTTACTTTAGATTTTGGGGTGATAAGGTTTATTTGTAGGTAAATAATGGTTTTATTTTTGCTTGTTTTTGTTTTTTTCTATTTTGTCTTTAGGCCCCTATCACACTAGACCAGGGGTTCTCAAGCCGTTTGGGTCTGGGGACCCCTTACCAAGGGCAAAAAAAAAATCCAGGGACCTCCTCATAAACCCCATGCTGTTTTAAAAGAGAATGTATTGTCATTTCAACCCCTAAATGCCATGAGAATATGTATTTTTATTAAGTTTATTATGTTTGTTTCATTAGTTCATTGTTCTCCATGCATTTTTAAACATAAAAACCAAATTAACATTTTAGTAAAAATTTTTGAGGACCCCCAAGATACCTCTCGCAAAACCCTGGGGGTCCAGGGACCCAAGTTTGAGAACCTATGCACTAGACAACTTATGCCAACTTATAAATATTTTAAAATAGTCTATGCTGAAGATAGAATTGAAAAAAAAACAGGAAGCTTCTTTTTGGCGTTCACATAATGTAATTCTAGCAAACTGATCAAATGTATAACTTTTATTAGCAATTTAGACATAAAAATGTTTCATAAGTTGTCTAGTGTGACAGGGCCTTTTGTTATTTTACACAGAAAAAACTATGGGGCCATTAGTCTAGGGATGTATAGGGTAAGTATAGGGACTGGTATAGGACCAGCATGCACTGGTGTGGGCCTATGGTTTTTACCAGAACAAGAGAAGCTGCTGGAAACAATGGAAAAAATGGATCTTTGTTTAGGACTCTCCAAACTGGAAAAATAAACTGTACGACACAAACTTCTAGTTTTTGGACATTTGGACTTATTTTTCCTGTGTACAAAATATCAGCACAGTGCAGTTTTGTAGTGTTTTATGGTTTCATTCACCTTTGCTTCCTTACTCACACCGTCTGTTTCCTTCTTTTCCATCTTTGTCTCTTCAGGATGAGAGTCTGACCTACCTGGGTCAGCTGGACAGCTTGGAAGCAGAAATCCTGAAACAAGAGGAGTTC